ACATTGATAACCAACTTACATTTATACCACACGTGAATGATGTAGTTGAAAGACTGAAGACTTTAGGATTTATTCATTGTTCCTGCAAAGATTTCACCAAGATTCAACCATTAATAATATTATTTGTGGCTCTTGTGCGCTCTAAATTAGAATATGGCGGTTTAATATGGTCACCTTTATGTAACGTTCACATCGATCACTTGGAATCAGTGCAAAGACGCTTTCTATAAAATTTATTTGTTATAAATTAGATGGAGTCTATCCTGAAAGAGGCATTAGTGAAATTAATTTGTTAACTAGATTCCTTCTTAATTCGCTACGAGCACGCAGGTTAACGCAGAGTATTACTTTTTTATTTATTTAAGCTCCTACATAACAAAATCGACTGTATTCATATAACTACCAAAATTTGCTACTCTATTCCAAAGATTAATGCGCGATATAAAACCTGTTTCCATGTGGATACTTGTAGAACTAATGCACTAGCTAGATCGCCTGTTTGACCGAATTTAAATCAAAATTTTCGCGCTGAAATTAATTAACAGCGGCGCGAAATCACGCTTGAATAATTTGAATTTGAAATAGGAAAAAAATTCAATCACAAAAAAAGAAATCGTTAAACATAGGCAACTAAATATGCACGTAGCGCTTAGGGGTTAGTTTAGACAATCAATCGTAATTTCTAGGACGCCACAGTTTTCCCCAAACCTCGCAGCTAATTCTTGCAGCTTTTAATCAAAAAAACATGTGATTTTTCAACGTGGAACACGTGCTGTAAATATGATTTATTGTTTGTAAATTCACCAATCAAGTTAGTTTTTCTTAATCGTCAGCTAGTGCTAATACAATTTAAGAATCAGGATTATTTAAATAAACCACTTGCTAGAAGAGTTTATGAAATTTACTTAGTCAGGAAAACACCTTTGTTGTTTAATTACGAATAGGTTTCTGGATGCATATACGTAAGTGTTACATTATAACACTTCTTAATTATTCACACAAGATTGCTAATAGTTCATTTACGGCAGTTAAACAAAATTCATTATACTGCGAAGTGGCGGGGGGTTAAAATAATTTCTTCCCTTAGGCGGTTATCATCGTTATTATCGTCGTTATCATGATTACATCTCCAGGGCAACGCTAAAGATTGATTACTTCATCGAGGCAAGTCCTCGCAAAGCTAAAGATGGATTACTTCATCGAGGCATGTCCTCACAATGCTACAGATTGATTACTTCAACGAGGCTTATCCCTCGCAACAATAAAATTACATCACGGAGACGTTTTTTCCTCGCAATGATTGGATATTTTTGTGTCTGTTTATTATGAGTTTTGTTGGGGTAACCAGTTCGCAGTATCTTAAACTCTCAATGTAAATCACTTAGATCATGATATAATTTGGCATAATGTAAACTCTTTGTTTGAATCGTTGATAAAATGTGGCAAATATTAATCTCATGTAAATTTTGTTAACTTTGCAAATTTTCACCTCATACAATATTTCTCTATTTCACAATTTTAACTTCAGTAATTTTCTTTGTTGTATAATTTTGATTGAACGTAAATTTCATGCTCTACAGTTTTAACCTTACATAATGTTTTTATTTGGACAAGTCTATTTCACCCCAGATCTTTTCTTTTTCATAAATCTTTACTAGTTTTATTTTGTAAATATTTTGTTGATGATTGTTTCCACCGTATAAATTATTTGTTGTTTAAAATTTCACAAGATTGTATGGCGAATTTAAATGTTGTTTATTGCTCTTTGAAACTTTAACACTTGTTCCGTTGTTGTTAATATCAGAGTTATAAAGAATTGCACATTTAAAATGGAACTGATGTTAAATTACACAGAAAACGTGGCCGAAGCTAAGTGTGGTTCTTAGTCGAGATGGCGCGACTTTATCGCGTCGCCTGCGCAAAGGGTATAGGTTTGGATAGATTCAGGGGCGGTTGCGATGTTGTAGTGCTCTCGACTTGGCCCAATAGTCGTGAAGGGAGAACAGCCCCGACCGGTAGCCCCAAACTCCGCTTGTGCTAGAACGCCCCAGGGGTACTTTTGTTGTGCTCCTGTTAACTGCCGTAACTTTCAAATTTGACGCCACACGCCCGTGATGACTTGTGTATTTGCATCCAGTTGCTTTAATTCAGATTTGGCTTTGTTTTTATTAAATTTGTGATATTCAAATATTTGCATTGATTCCAAACAGATGTATAGGATTTTGTGTTTGTTCGTTTTTCATATGTGTATGTTTGTCAATTCGCGAGTGTCTTTTCTTTCATATTTTTAAGGTGTTTCATTTGAAATGTAATATGTCCGTGAATATACAATAGGGGGTTTTTGGGGCTGAGGAGTGAATCTTCGCAGCTTCTTTCCTCCTGAAAGGGGTGCAATCTTAGCCTCTCCAAAAAAATTTTGTCTATTATTTCTTGCGCTCTCGACTCACATGCAGTATATGCTCACTTGTATGAAAGAACGTCTTCCCGCCACTTTTCAAAAAAGAAAAACACAACGTAGGTTTCCTATTTTGTTAGACGATCACAGCCAAGGCCAAACTTTGAATTTTTGAATTTTTCGCGGGCCTTTCAAACTATTTCAAGGTCAGTTTAAAGGCGGGAAGTTTGGGTTATCACATGGTATATCTCATTTCTGTGATATTAATTTTTGATAACGTTAATGTTATGAAACAAAAAGTTTTTGGGGTTTATGGAATTTAATTATTTTACTTTATTTGTGTAAAGGTAGGTTTTAATATGGAAATTAATATCAAGTTATTTTCTGTAATTGGGTAACACCTATAGAAAATAAATATTATTATTATTGATGATATTATCAAACCCATTTTCATGAAAAACGAAAATTATGGATCTGTAGGTTTAACATCATCTGTGATTATTAAATTGTATTATAGCGTCAATAAGATACGATCATATCATTAACATTTTTACGGAAAATCATTGTAATACATTTTGAAGAACACAGGTTTATACCAGAAAAATCGGTTACTTTCAACTTACTTTGTTGTTTAACTGATTAGTTGAGAAAACTCGATGCAGGCTAACGTGGTATAGATGGACTACTCAAAGCCTTATGATCGTGTGCCTAAAAGATGGTTTTTATTTAAATTACAACATCTGGGAAAACTTTTGTTGTGGATTGATGCTTTCCTTACAGCCCGTAATTTTAATGTATTTTTGAGGTGATAGTTTAGTTATTAGTGCTCTAAGTGGTGTTCCTCAGGGATCAGTACTTGACCTGCTTTTGTTGATTGCTTACATGACATGACTAAAGTCTCCTTTTGCGATAATATAATTGGTCAGCATAGAACTTTATCTAATGATATTAGCATAGTTTATAAATGGTCGAACGACTGGTTGTTACACCTCAATACAGTGTATTATGTCTCGAAAATAACAATCCCATGTATTGAACTTGTTAAGTTGGAATGTCTAGATTTAGATGAAACAATAACTTATACATTGACATGGTCTGTACGTATTAATTGGGTTATTAAAAGAACTAATAAAATGCTCAGTTTTCGCAAAAAATTTCGTTATAACAGTATTTAATGTTCTTATTGACTGTAATTTTCCAATAAAACATTTATTTCTTCTTAATACGGGCACTCAAACCCGAAGGCAATCTTAGACAATTTGTATTCCAATTCTTTATCACTAAAAGGTTTTTTTTTTAATTTGGAACTCCCTGCCAACCCACGTAGTAGTTAGTTCTAGTACAATGTTTGTTAAAAGTAATTCTGATAGATTTGTATTCAAGGCAAGCACATAGCAGATTGCAGATTCTTGATTGAAAAGATAGAGCACATGCATAACAGGATAACAGGCAATGCTCCTCCCCTCGATCACATTACGCAATAATAATAACAATACTAAATTTTATTTGTTCACTCCCTCTAGAAAGTTGATGACGTTATCTCAATCATTTATTAAAGAATATTAAGCAAAAATTTTTCCAGCTGTATTGGACAGTAAATCATTGAATATTGTTCTTTGGTCAAAAAGCTTTGAATTTTACCGCTAATTAATAAATAAAAATGTAAAGTTCTCACACTGTAGGGACTTTTCACATATCTAATTCTATATTTTCTGGAGATTTATTTAATGTCTTGTAATATAAAAAAACAGTACTCTTATTAGCGTTTGTCTGTCGGTTGAACTTTAGAAACAGATGATTTTCGAAACTACTCTAGAAAATTGCTTACCAGAATTTGACATTCTTCTCTTAGTAATAGATCACGTTATTTAACTCTTACTCTTTTATTTGCGTGTGGTGTTTATATTTGTATTACAGAAACTACGTAACTGGCATATTTGACGTAAGTACTAACGTTACATAGATGTTATAGAGGGCTAATAAAATTTATTACCCCCACGAATAAGCTGATGACGTCATTTTATAAAATCGTCGATAAATATTTATTAAAAAATGTGCCTTGAGATGCTATAGTGTTTAGTGTTTGTATTTCTATAAGTCTATTATTTTTTAGAATTGCCTACACTGGATGTGTGAAACAAACTTTTTGGGGACTGTAATTTAACAGCTGAAAATGTCTTAAGGTTTAGGGTTTACAGTAACACAGAGGAGAGAAAATCGTTGACTACAACAGTACATACATATATTTTCAAATTTATTACTCTGGTTAAATAAGTACACTTACCTATCATATCTCATTAATTTATTAGTTGCAATAGTAGTAACCAGCAACACACAGATGAAGAATAAATAATAACAGATCTCATTTATTTGATAAAATGTAAGTACTTGTTGAATATCTCCAACGAGCGCTTAGTAACACTCACTGTTGTACAATTAAGTAAACATTTACTACATATTGTAGAAAAATTCGCTGCGTGACGAATCTCTAAAAGATGCGTTAAAGGGTTAATTGAAGTAATTAGAGAAACATATTTTTATTTTTAACATTGATAACAACAATCTGTACATCAAACTATATACAACAACGATTAAAAACATCGAACAACATTATGCTTTAAATATTTAAGTTCAGTATAACATTAAATTGAGTATTGAAAATATACTTACAATTTTTAGAATGTTGCTTCAAAATTTATTTGAAACCTGTGGTACATACTAGAACTTATTAGGATTGTCTATACACAACATTAATATGGTCCAAAATATCATTAAGATCTATGTACAATCTCTACTAAGTGACACTTTGGCCCGCAAAGTGCTCATAAAAAGAGATAACACCTAAGTCGATTACCAATTCCTCTCGAAACAAACCATGCATGCATCAAGTATCCATAAACCAGGATTGGACTGTTTCAAAGGCACATCAACATAACACACTAATTTAATTTGTGCAAAACGAAAAATTGTAGTTCCTACTCCAGTTTTCGAGAGGAGACATCTCAGAAGTGTCAGTTCCTAACTCATGCACAAGTCATGAACATATGCAAAGCTAAATTTCTACTAATCGGAAGTGTGAGAATAACAACATAAACGGAACAGTGATTAAGGAGATTCTATAAGTTTTATTAACACACAGCTCGGTTGTGTCCATTCTTGTGTACAAAACAGGTCACGGATATGCTTAATTCTCAGACTACTTTAGTACCAATTTCGCCATCAAACGAAACCTTCGCTGTGCATTAACATTTTGTTGCAAAAAGCGGATATATTGAAAATCATATAACAGTGTTTGTAACATTCAGGGCAGTTTTAATTCTTAAGGAAACGGCAATAAATAACTTGAACTTACAAAAAAACAGATTGTCATGTACTTGATCAGATTTTTATCGAATGAGAACTGCATGCGAAAAACATCCCAAAAGAGTTTCTTATTTAGCAAAATTTACTTTTACCAGTGTTCAACAACTAGTCCAAGGGCAGCTTCTTAAAATAACCAGTAACGTATAACCAATTACTTGTCTGAGAAAAAATATTCTCGGGAATAATAATCCGTAGAGGTTTCCAGACAAGTTTAACTGAGTTAAACTTCCCCTACGTGACAAGACTTGTTTATGATCAAATCTTTGCCATTAAATCACATAACGATCCTTTGTGACGTGGTGAACGGTTCAAGGATAGACATACTGTAAAAATATTAACCATTTTAGATAACCTAAAACCTTTTTCTTTGACAAAAAAGTGAAAAAATAACTTATATTGAATTGACATTTGTGCATAAAATTCTTTTCACTTCTTACTAATTCTTTGTCAACACTGGATTTATCTTGTATTTTTCCTTCTTCCTCTTCACATAAAGTCTCCTAGAATTTTATGAGCACCACGTTTTTGTGTTTTTGGTTTTATTTAAGTGTTATTTGAATTTGTAAGTGTCTACATCATCATTATGACCTTATCATCGCGTTGTTAAAAAAATACTTGTAGCTGTGTGTAAAAGAATTAATTTACCCCATTGGAAGAAGTAACTAAGTTGTTTTTATGTTATTTTTTCTTTTGTGAGGAGGTTACTGTGGCGGCAGAGAAATGATATTGCGTTGTCGTGTTGCTCTAGATTGTGATTATAGAGTGACGTTATTTGTTTGGAAGAGATGTTACGTTCAACACATGACAATCGTTTTTTCAGAACATCTTTCGGTATAGTAATCCTTGAGTGTGTTTAAAATATAAATGGGATTCTAAAGGTAGGTTCTAGAGTAGTGTTTTTACAAAACAATAACCTAATTGTTGTGTATGTGCATAGGAGTGGATATGAACTATTTCGTAATTGGTCTTGCATTATTAAACTTGTCTTCATCCAAGGTCACTTTACTAAACAACTAGAACAGAGAGATTCAGAGCTATGTGACTACATCTGAATGATTCGGGATTATTGAGTTTGATTGTACTCCATCAAAGTGATTATTAAGACACATTTATATTGTAACACCGATTAGATAAATTCATCTAAATATATTGCCGTGCGCAATGGCAGCACTTTTAAAGACCATCTCCTTCTAGAGGACTATTTTACAAACAAGTCTTTCAAAGTTGAGCAGAGTGAAGAGTCGCAGGTTTCTGTGGAATCACTGTCTCCCTTGTTCGAAAACCAACTAGTTTTAGACCGACCAGCGGCGCTTTTACTGGTTGGCGTCTTGCATTTGTTGGGTGAGGTGTGCGGTGAGGTCTGGGCGCTCGTCGAATCTGGGGTGGTCTGTCTGAGAAAGACCTCGATAGCACTACCTAGAGCATGTGCATCGACCAAAGACCCGCTCCGCTCGTCCCAGACCACCTTCCCGGGTTCCGTCTCAACGACATTTTTGTTTTTCTCCTGCTCGGGCTTTGCCGTCGGTTGGTGACGTTTGGTAAACCAGTTCGAGGGTGCGCCGGCGGAGTCGGCCTGCTTTGGTTCTTCGGCGCTGTGGAGAATAGAAATATCAAAACTGTTCGACCTGTTGCTCTTCAATCGACTTCGTCTCTGTTCAGCGGCTTTGGCGGATTCACTTTTCGACGCTTGTGCTGTCTCACACTGATTGATTTCCGTGGCCGAGGTGGAAAGAGAGGACAAAATAGAGATAAGATCAGTATTAGAGCAAACTATTCCTGTTGTTGGGTGCTTACTTGCGCTAGTTGTGGTGCAGGTGTTGGGGGGCGGCAGTTCGGAAGCGCGCCTCTTGCTAGAGCTCGGAATAGGAGCTAAGGTCGTGCCCACGAAGTCGGAGTACCGCCGGTTGGAGGAATTCGTGTATCTCTGCACGTTACCGGAGTTAGAATCGTCTAGGGGTTCCACTTCACAGACGCGTTCGTTACTGGTGTTCCACAGCTTCATCCTGACTTTGCGCGCTTGCACGATGTCGTCCATTATGTCCAGCTGGAGGTTGTGCACGCTGCCGCGGGGCTCCGTCGACGGGGGACAAGCGATGGACTCCCTCCTGTTCGGGAGGATCCTCACCGGGAAGCCGCCCCCGGAGGGGAAAGCCGCCACGGATTCGCGTCTGTTTCTTCCGAAGAAGCATGGAGGAACCTTGGAGATGGTCACCACGGAGTGCCGGCGCCCGCCGGGGGAGGGAGCGGGGGCGGTCGAGAGGGTGGCGAGGAATTCGGCCTGGCGAGGTCCCGGTCCGACGGTTTCGCCTCTTTCGGAGAGGCGGCGAACTTGGCTTGCGGTTATGCCGCTGCACTGAGGGGTCGGCAGAGAGTGTTTGCGGATGTCGCGGGAGTACGGCGACAGAAGATACGGATTCATTGTTGGGGATTCGTCTTCGGAGCTGTGGTGCGAGTCCGAATCGTACGCTTTTTTTTCTTCGTCATCTTCGGCGTTCAAATCGTCCACGACGATCAAGGGTTCGGAGGTCTGGGACTGGAGGACTGCGTTCGATGATCTCCTCATGGTATTGTAGACAAATCTGGAACAAAGGGGGAGTTTACGAAACTTTTACTGGTAATTAACCAAGACTATGTTCTCAACACTAAAATGCCTTTGTGAGTTATTCAAATATGTACACAGAGAGAAGTGGTTATTGATTAGCTCTAAACTTAGCACGGGAAACTGTGGCATTGGAATAAGCACATACAACTGCGAGTACGTATTGCAATGATCAACGTGGTATCTAGTAAAAACCGAATGTTAGGTTAATTAATTCACAAATTATTCCACTCCAATACTTCCCATAACTGTCATTCACCGTCTAAAAAGATCCGTTCTGTTACTAAATGCGCATAACGCTTGTTATACAAGAAGGTAAAGCAAGCTTCTATTACAAAGTAAATTTCTCCAACTTGAGAATGCTATTTTTTGTGTTGAATTGTTCTCTTGTGAGCCAGTAAGCCTTCGAAGTTCGTACTTTAAGCAAAATTTATCGTCTACGATTAAGCTGAGATCATTTTATTTAAGTATCCTGAATGAAGCTGCGATATATTCGTAAAGCTTGGATTCTCCCTTTGGGAAAATTTATAGCCACTGTTTTGCATCCAACGTATTATAATAAATGTGTAAGTACAATTCCGCAGTATACTTTCTATAAAGAAATTTATAATTAACGGAATGGTAATAAATCAAATTTAAATTTTTAAGATTGTCTGTTCCAGATTTTACGGACATACTCTATATGTGAGTAAACTCCTCTACTGTAAAACGTAGTAGAGTATTAAATATAGCCTACTAACTCAATCTTCGTGTAACCATAACTTAGTCAATCTATTTAACTCCACTTATCTCATCCGAAACTTGTACGTACTATCATGTACGACAGTTACATTTAGTTAGCAAAATCTCGTTATACTTCTACACTACACTTGTTTCGACCTTGCAGCTGTCGGTTACAGCGGCGGGTTTTACAGACCAATGGCATTTTAAACCGACCGAACGCAGATGTACGGCACACCAATCAATAACTCTAGTAACAAAATTTGAAGTCATTTTAAATTTTACATTCGAGTCAAACAAAATTAAAATCGACAGATATAGCCATAGTTATTTAAGTGGATTCGAATTGTTCAGCCCCGACAAAATCAATACAATTTAAATACAATTTCATCTTGAACGGGGGCATCAATTTTAGCAATAAATATGCCATTAAATCAAATTATTTATTCACCGTGTTTCTAACGGAGAAAAATTAAATTGTGTGAATTCATTTACGAAAAACGCTGAAAACGGACACTTCGACAGGTGATCGGAAGAGACAGATTACAGAGTTGATAGGAGTTATATTTATATTTTTCAATTGTTTTTAAATTGATTGCTGTACGGGTCTGGTCGGGACAATTTGATGTTTAAGTTTAAGAATTGGTAAAATGAGTCATAATTAAAAGATCTTTGGGTCTAAAACTAATACATTTTATAATAACTACTCATAAATAATTGATTTTTGAATTCTAGCTATTGAAATTTCAAGAATTTTGACCGGATCTTTAAGGTGAAATGAAAATTTTAAGGGCTTTTCCTTGTATTTGTTACTATACCGATGTATATGTTCAAAGCAATTTGATCTTTAGGTCTAAAATCAAGTTTATATAAATTTTAGACACAAAAAATGTTTGTTATAATAAAGATTATTTACGGGTGAAGTGGAAAATCTGAAAAAAGAGATGAAAGAAAAGGACAGAAAATGGCAAATAGATAAGACGATAAGGAAGAAAGAAGGAGAAGAAGAAGAAATATAAAAATGTAATTATAAAGACTAGAAAACGGAAGGAAAAAAGCAAGAGCACATCAGGTATTTGATTCTTTCTAAGAAAAAACACAAAAAGATAAAGAAGAAGATTAGGAACAGCTTTGTGGTAGGACAACAAATATGTAGTTTTACTAGAGAAGAAACGGAAAAAATTATGAAAGGAAAACAAAAGTGAGGGGAAACAAGTTAAAATCTGTGATAGTGGATAAGAAAGTATTTAAATGGAATGAACTGGAGGGGCTATTAAAGGTTTTTCACTAAATGAAAGAAAAAGAAAAGAACATGGCAATAAATCTGGGAAGGAATGTATAAAATTCTTTTTTGGAGTACACCGGGAATTAAGAGAAAAATAAAATCTTGTGGGAATAGATACGAGAATTCAAGTATTGGCATTGATAGAAACATGGGTGACACAGCAGAAGTGGAAGAAAATAAAGAAACAACTCCCAAAAGAACTTGCATGGGAATATTTGGGGACAGAAAAAGAGAAGAAGGAAGGAAGGAAAAAAGGAGGAATTATAACAGGGGTACAAAGAGATAAGTAAAACGAGTAACCAAAACGGAAAGGATATAACAGATAAGGAAAAGGAGTAGTAGAAAGAAAAGTCATAATAGAGAAGAAAGTATGGGGAACTTTTACCATATGCAGTAAAGAAATAGAGTATTAAAAAGGGTTTAGAAAAAGCAACGTAGAAAGATTATATTTTAATAGGGGGACTTGAATGCTATAATTGGAGAAAGGAGCAAGAGAAACAAAAAGAAAAACAAAAGACAAGAAAGAAGATCAAGACGGAAAAATACTAATACAGTTTGTAGAAGAAAAAGAATGGGATTTTCTGAAGAGGAATAAAGAAAGTGATGAAGAAGGAAAATTGATATACGTGGAACCAAGTGGAATAACAGTGATTGATTATGGAATTGTAAATGAGAAAGGATGGCAAAAAAACGTTTCAAGTGAGGGATATGACACAATCCGATCGTTTACTTTTGGAAATCAACATAGAAGGACAATAAAGAAGAAGGAAGAAAAAAAGAACAAACTGAAGAGGAAGGATTTTGTGGTAACAGGCGAGATGAACGAAATGGTGGAAGGATTAAGTCTAAGCGTGAATGATGCAACGGAATAGATACCACAGAAGGGAAAGAAGAAACAACTGGGTTGATAGGGAATGAGAAAAAGTGTAACGATCTGGTAATCAAAGCAAAGGACGAAAAAGGAACGAAGAAAGGATGAGTAGCTTGGGAAAATTTATAGAAAGAAAAAATTAGAAGTGAATATAGAGAAAACGGTGGTAATGATATTTGGTAAAACGATACGAATGACTAAGACAAAATGGGCTTTAAAGGCTTATAACGCATCCAGTATTATTTGGGGGAAACAGTATATTGATGTATGGATCGGGAGTGTGAGGTTGGAGAGAATATGATAATAATAATAATAATAATAATAATAATAATACCATTTATTGTAACCAACAGACACTAAGTCCAGTTACAGGATACAATATGAAACAAACCACTTTCTTACATATAATTAGGAAACAAAAATAAATTAAATGATTCTGATGAATTAGAGACAGTGCAAGAAAAGTATCTGAAGTTGGTATTAGGATTAAATTAGGACTAAAAAGATAAACACCAGAACACATAGTGAGAGAAGAAACTAAAAGGCATAAGTTAAGAATAGAAACCAGGAAAAGAGGGGTAAAATATGAAGAAAAAATGAGTGAGAGAACAGATTTCTAAATGATTTTGCTTTTAGAGATTATTTAAAATATGTTTTGCTTTTTGTTGAGATGTACCATAGATTGGCAACCAGATCAAAGAACAGTATTTTAACCGTGACCTTATTTACGATTTTGGTAAATGAAACCATACATCTTACAAGCTTTCTCTATATAAATCAGAAATATGTCTGGAGAAATGAAATTTATTATAAAAAATAACATACAAGTTTTCGAAAGTATCCAATCGGCTAAACCTATCATCTACCATGGTGTAATTATAGATAATTCTAACATATTTCCGGGATTAAGAAACCATAAAACATTTAATTCTATTTAGAGGGGAACGATTATTTTCACTCCAAAGAATGAGACGATTAATATCTTCCTGAAGCCGTTCACAATCCTTTAATGCTGTTATTTCGCGGTAGAGTTTTAGATCATCTGCAGAAAGCATTGTTATTACATCTATAACATTGTTGAAAAACATATGAGTAGTAAAGGACCTAGATTAGACCCTTGAGGTACTCCTAATCTAGGTGAAAAAGATTCAGAAATGAAGTTATTGTATTTGACACCCAATTTTCTATCTAATAAATAAGATCTCATATGGGATATTAAGGATTCGGTAAAGCCAAAGCATTTGAGTTTTTGGAGAAGAATATAGAGTCAGTATAAATTACATCTACTTGATTATTATGGTATATGGTTTCAGAAACATACTGTGTAAAGGTCGCTAACTTGGTAATTATGGACTCTTGTCGAATCCATATTGATAAGAGGTTATATAACACTCTATGCTGAAGCAAATTCTGTTGTAAAAACAGTATGGACACGAGAATCTTAGCAAAATTAGACAATGAGCAAATGTGTCTGTAGTTTTCAATAGGAAAGATCACCTTTTTTATAAACTGGTAACTTATGTCTTTATCCATAAGTCTATCAATGCATCAGTTTAACAAGAATACACGCACAATCTTTAAGTAAAAAACTACCTGAGGTGAAAAATACTTTAGATGATTTAAAACGCCAAATATTTCTTTTTCGGATATTTGAGATATAAATATAAGTCAGGAATTTCTCGACCCGTGAAATTTAAATAAAAGTTAAAACGAGATTTTATGAAAACACTGTTAAAATAAACCTGAATCCGTTAACAATATCAATTGGAGAGATTAATTTAGATTTCTGGTAATACATAATTCCTGGTATCCTTAAAATTTCTGTTATTTTGAATGTAGGACGAAAATTTTTTGAGTCACTATGAATTTATTTTTGTACATTGTCAACGTAGAATTTATAAGTTTTAGTAGTTAGAAATTCACATAACGATTTGAAACGTCTGGATGTATGTAGATAATATACTCGGTTTTGAAATGTTTATATTTTTTATGAAAATAATTCTTCTAATTAATGAAAGGAATGAAGAAATAGGTCTGTCTGTCCGTCTGTCTGTCTGTCTATCTGTCTGTCTGTCTACTCTCGGATCTTTGTTAGACCGATAAT